AAGCATCATTTATTTGCGACCAATCCGTGACCATTTTAAACCGTCGTATATGTGTGATGAAACTATGACTACCAAATTTCGTCATACATTTGCAACTATTTTGAGACAACATTTTGTAGTCTTTAATTTGCAACTACTTTATGACAACATTTGTAGTCTTTAATTTGTGACTACCTTATGACAACATTTACAGTTATAGATCTGTGACATTTATAAGACTGATAAAGTAAGCTACTCAACGTCTTTAGTCTCAAAATCGTCACTTATTAGAAACTTGTTTGCAAAAAAAAAATATTTCAAATTTGAAAAGCTAAAATTAAAACCACCAATGTTTAAAACAATTAACGCAAAAGATACATCAAATATAAGATCCATATCTTACATAACATCAGTTTTGTCATCGAGTTTGCAGTTCATAAATAACTTGACTTGGAGGCCAATCTCCAAAAGAAGAACAAGTAATTTTAACTGTAGTTGGACGAAAGCACAAGTATAAGTATACCTCATCTGCTTGTCTCTGCTGTGACGTGAACCTTGTCACGTTCTCGAAGGCATGGTTCACTAATATGTCTATAACAGTTTGGCACCTGAAAATGAACCGAATCATTCCTCAATTTCTCAATTTTGATATAATAACAAGTTCAATATGCTCATTTCAGTTGAATGAGTACTATGAATCATGAAAGAATTCTTACCATGGGACTTTGTAACGGCGTGCAGCAATCTCTAGAGTATGCAGCTGCTTCTTCCGCGTCATCCTCTTCTGTCAAAACCGGAAGATCATATATAGCCTCCTTTATTTGAGTGGCATTCTTGGAAAACTAGAAGAAGAAAAACAATTTGTATGAGACACTAAAAAACCTCAGAGTATGCTGATTCAAGACTATAACAATACAACCAAGGAGCTTGTCAACAACAGTCCACGGATTAAATCTCATCACCAAAGCATAAACATGACAAATCTAAAAGCCATATGTGTTTTGTGCACCAAATACTAAAGAGATGTTTCCAACACTATCCGAGAATTCATCTACACTACCCAAGCATCATTCGTATCACCTCGACACTCGTCATACAATCACTACTGTATAATTGTAAAGAAGCATTTTATAAGTATCAACAACTATCAAGAACTTAATCAAAACTTATCAACTAGACCTTTCTTCAATGTTATCAAGTACTAACACACAATGTGTCAGCAATGCATTCTTTAAGAGAAAAAGTTTCCAACTTTCACAAATCAAAGAAGAAACTTTTACCCGCAAACGGTCGGAGAGAATAGAAGGAGTGAGTGATTAATTTGAACTTAGGAGCATCAGAGAGAAGTTTGTCGTAAATTGCTTGGTCAAACAGAACCATGTTGTTCACTTTTTCCTTTTGCTTTTCTTTGCTCCACTTCTGATAATTCCAAAAACAAAACAAAAGAACACAAATTTGGTGTTAGAAAACATAGGAAACCGGATCGTTGTGGTTTCCAGATCAAAATAATCAATAATTATTATTCAAAAATAGGTAATTTGAGAGATGAAAGATTGGATTTTTAGGAAATGACCTTCTTTTTTTGTTTGCCACCACCAGATTTGGTGGGTTTAGAGGACGGAGGAGGAACTTTGTCCTTATTGGGTGCCTAGAATCAGACAAAGAAGCAATTGCTAATCAGACGAGAACAACACAC